TCATACATATATGTGTGCGTGTGTCTGTGTGTCTGTCTATATGTGTGTATGTGTGGGTGTATATGTGGGTCGGTGTTTGTGTGTATGTATGTATGTGTGCCTGTGGTTGTGTGTGTGATTATGTATGTGTTTGTGCGTGTGCGTGTGTATGTGTGTGTGCGTGCGTGTGTGAGTGTATCTGTGTGTGTGTACACGCGTGTGTGAGTGTCTGTGTGTCTGTGTGTCTGTGTTTCTTTGTTTATGTGTGTGGGGGGGGGGGGCGTGTGTGTGTGCGACACGCATGTGCGTGTACTTGGGCGATTTATGTTCTGACAAACTAAACACGGCGTGTGTTAGGTTATTTGATCAGCGAAAGCGAATATCATCAGTCAACGTCAAAACCACCGGGGTGCAGATGGCGTTCACGAATCACGTACATTGACAGATAAACGCTACAACTACACTAACATTCAAGCGTTACACGTACGCTGATATTCTTGTTTGTGAACTGCTCAGAAGGCATCTTCTTCAAGTTAAACTTGGTGTCGTCTGAGCTCGGGAGCTTATCCTCGCCAGGGCTAATAAAATCCACTGACACATGTCTGTAGGGCTTGTCCTTCTGCAGTTTTTGTAACTGATCGGCCATCGTTTATCTGCTGCTAATGTGTGTTATAATGTTTATCACTCTATAATTGTATCTCGCTCACAGTACTACTTTCTTAATGCGTAGTACCCGTTCTTAGTCCAACTATGAGATTTTTTTACTACCCTGTTGCACTCAAGGGTAGCATGTGGTGTACGTACTTGAGTGTTTAAACTTGAAAGTTAAGTGTCTGTGGCTGAGTGTGACGTCGATGCAAGATACTTAAGAAAAGGATATCCCACTGGCAGAACACGACTCAACAAATGCACGCAATACATACAATATACTTTATTTGTATATAGTTATTGTTATAACGACTCCACAGTGACTTCGATTTCGGTATTTAGAGGGAAATTCAAATCACGTCAAAATTCTTATTTGACTTTTGGCCATATAAAGGAGCCAAAGCATAAATATATAAATGCAAAATGTATATTTTATAAAAACGTATAACGTACCGGTCGTATATAAAGCTCACAAGGACCACGGGTCCACGACTCCACGGTAATAGTAGTACATAGCTCAAAATTGAAAATTCATACATAAGTGTCCATAATCCTCACCTCAGGCCTCAGGGCTCAGACGCAAGACGCTCTTATAAGTCATAGCCTCATAGCCCTTAGATTCTCCTCTCCATTCTCCAGTCTCCGGTCTGGCACTCTGGCAGTCTGTCAGTCTGAAGCAGTGAAGTCTCTCGCTCGCATCCAGGCTCCAGCAAGGCCTATATTCCACGCGAGTAAAGTCGACCAATAATCGTCGAAGAATTATATCAGTAAAAAGTAAAAACTGTTGAAATGGCAGAAGTCAGAAGTGCACTATGCAGTTATAAGTTGTTGCGGTATGTACTGGCTTTGTTCATATTTATTTTATCAAGAGCAAACTTTACTCCGATGGATCTTTTGTTAGTCTACACTCTACACACTCTTCTTGACGCTATGTAGACTCAAGAGTCAAGACTGAAGACTGTAGTGAGTGTAGTCTGTACTCTGTATGTAGTGTGTGCAATTTTTATAGTATTTACTGTATAACTGCTGGTTTGCGTATGTAAACTCCAGAGTCCCAGAGTTCCAGTCTGATCCCCAGGAGTCCAGGACCCCCAGGTGCGGACTACTACGAGTACGGAGATGCCCTATGTGGCTAATTTTGTATAAAATTTAAAAACACTGGAAAAGGTAGATTAACGTGTTCACTGTTCAGTGTTCAGGTTGGTTTCCTATTTCATTTTATTTAGGAATATGGTTTTCATTGACGTTTTCGTTTTTCTAAAAATACAATACGTAAATACATTCACATGTACACGTTTCCGACTTTCCGTTCAACTTTTAATCCGTATGAATCTCATAACTTTTATGTGACGTAAGCACAATTGTTCACCTCCAAAACCAGAATCAAGAATGTCGAGTTGTCAACTGTGTGCGAGACTGGTCACTGGAGTGTGTCTGAGTGTGAGAGTGTGCGAGTGTCAGTGCGTGTGTGTGCGTCTGTGAGACTGAGTTGTGTGATTGTGAACTGTGCGATGTCCAAGGAGACGTACCCGGTAACTCTCAAGACGCTGTTGTGGATAAATGTGTCAACGTGAGAATATCTATTTAGCGTGTATTGTTGGTGCGCGTTCACACGGGACGGACGACGCAGTCAATGCAGTCAATAATTCACAATGATACGTTCAGTGCATTCAACACATTCAATACATCCGCATCCTTTAAAATCAACGCACAAGCTTCTACTCTGATGACCATATCAGCGACCAGTATTGAGGGTACATATTCAATTATTCCCACACGTACGCTTAATACTAAGCCCTAAATTTTCATTCGGGAGACTGCACATGCCACGCTAAACTTGTGCATTCAACGTTCCTATAACAAGGTAGTGATTTGATTTCGGTATACGTGTTAGTACATACACCTGATATAAAGAGAAGGCAACATAAGATGCGCCGTCTGCGAATGCCTGGAAGGCGTATAAACAATGGCGTCGTTACCAGCGAGATCAGACAGGCCGAGGCCCATAATCGAGTAAGTCCATTGTGCATTTGTATGTTCTTGTAGCCACAAATGCAACCATATGCGGTATAGCACTCTCGCACAAGTCGACGGTCAAATTATACGATCAGTTGGTTCTCATTCAGTATACACAAAAATTGATCTTGCATGTTAGTATAACGGCTATGATCATATTGTTCGTATATTGATAAGAGTGAGTACAGAAATACATACCTGTGAAACTATGCACATAAAAATGTATATTGATTTGTTCCAGATATTTTTATGCATCAATTTCCAAAGAATAGTATTACTGTTTTAGTTGATTTACCTTGCTGACTGTACTTGTCCATAAGTGTAAATAGAATGTATATACGCAAACTTGAGGAAGTTAATAACCATCTACCGGAACTACGTGTCACGCGCTATTAGCGTTGCATAGGCGCACATTGAAAAACTTCTACCAGTGTTTAGAGAACTTATGTGGTTTCAATATGGTCTATACGCACGGATATATATGTAGTTATATATATATATATGCGTGTGTGTGTGTGTGTGTATGTGTATGTGTGCGAGTGTGTGTGTATCTGCATCTACGTATATATATACATCTATAAATATATATGTATCTGTAGTATATATATATATACTAGTATATATATATATATATAAATGCACACATATACATAAATGTGTGTGTGTGTGTGTGTGTGTGTGTCTATGTAATGTGTGTGGGCTATATATCTATATAAATTCACACATATACATAAGTGTATACATCTGGGTGTGAGTAGGTGGGTGACTATGTGTGGGTATGACCCTGTCTATATGTGTATATACACGTCTATGTATATTTATTTGTGCATACATATTTTTGTTTGTGGTGTAAAAATTATATATATAAACATATCTATGTATATGCGTATGTATGTGTATCTATTCTTTTTGTATATGGATGTACATATATATATATATGTGTGTGTGAGTGTGTGTGTGTGTATGTATGTATGTATGTATGTATATATATATGTGTATATATGTATGTATATGTATATAAATTTTATATTATATATATATATATATATATATAATATATTACACCAGTGTACGTATAAATTTTTTGTCTAGACATCTTCGTTTAGTTTTTATTGCAAATTGTGAAAATCATCTCAGTGTTGATTATGTTATTTATATGCATATATGCGGGTGTTTGTGTATGTATATTTCTTTTGTATGATGATGATATGCAATGTCATGATGTGAAAAATAGTCATCTCACGTTCGCTCATTTATTTATGCGTACGTAAGTTTCATTACATCTACTTTAAGTATTCATAGCGTGTTGCCTATAGTATATCTATATACCTCGATTCATATCGCACGGGGTATGTGTGAGTTTCATGTTTTTTTTAGTGTACTGCTGGACACTTGCTATACGCCTTTGAGAGGACAGCATGGGTGTTTGCTGGAAGTTGGCACGTACGCGCTTCTTAGTGTATTCAAGTAGTGCGAAAACAGTTGCCTGATCATGTTTCGATCAGGAATCAGTACGCCCTTTGTTTATGTCGTGCATGCACATTATAATAGTCAGTTTTCTGTCGCTCATGACCTTGATAAATTAGTATTAATATAGAAGTGAGCATATATACTGTGCGAAGCACGGTTTTTGTGTGCAAGCGCTTTTACTTGTCCTTCTATTTGTACATTGAATATCCTTGAGTACATAGCATACCCTCTATCTAAGAGCACTTCTACATTCGCCCACAGTATGCGGAAGAATCGAAGATGTGGCGCGACTACAAACGGGAGAAGCTGAACGATACCTCAGGATTAGATCCAGTACATCGTAGCCGTGCTGGTATTGAACCGTCGCGGCACTCCGCCGATGGTCATCCAAGGACGTATAAAAGCGGGGCAGATCGGGCTACTGAACATGCGCCATCTTCTGTACCTGAGCATCGCTCCGGTGGAATGGGACTTGAGAGCAGGACTAGAGAGCGTTCAAGGCGTAGTCATAGCAGGGATGATGTTCGACAGTATCGACGCGACACTATCGATGGTCGAGGATATAGGAGTGGGAAGGTATGGGAGAATGCTGGTGTAGAGGATGGGCGTATCATTCGTGAGAGAAGGAGAGAAGATGGGCGTATTAACCGTGAGAGAAGGAGAGAGGATGGAGCTGTGAAGTCCAAAGACAAATGCGAGCGAGACAATGACGACCGGGCGAATGATGATCGGTTTGGTTCGTCACAAGGCTTAGCTGGGTGTAAAAGAAAATATGGAGAACGCTACAGTGCAACTCAGCAGACGAGTGATTCAGATACAGATAATAAGGTATACAAGGACATTCACAATAGAGACGAGCACCTCACTAGAAGCGTGAGAGCTTATGAGTGTGATCTTCAAGATGATATCAAACCTCGTAGAATGCGTATAGAAGGTGACCATGGGCACTCCACGCCGACTTCTACTCGACACAACTTTGCGGAGACGAGGAAAATAGCGGCCGAAAGGAAGTTGCAAGACATTGCTAGGAAATCACATAGTATAGGCCAGAGCTGGGCTTCCAGTGGGTTTGATGAATGGAATGAAGATGACGAATGCGTACTGCGGTTACAGAATATAAAGCAAGATGGATCAACAGATACACGAATCAGGCATGATGGAGATGCACCTGACAACGTGAACGGGTTGCGGAGCACTAAAAAATCTAAAAGACCTCGACTAGAAAATCATATTGACACGGGACGAGACGGACAAGGCGGTGGTCGTAGGGCGAACGAAAGTGGGTGTGATAGTAGTAGTGGGAGCAATTGCAATAGTATATCAGAACGTAGAGTCAAACGTAAGAGGCGAAAGAAAGAAAGTACGGAAAAGAAACACAAGAAGAGGAAAGAGCACAAGAAAAGTCGCTGATGGTAGGTGCAATAATTCAAGCACCACGGACCAATAAAAACAATAGTAGAGCACAGTTTTATGATGGCAGTTTCAAGAGCATAGTATCGGTATTCTTAGAGCTTTCAAGGGTCGTTGTAAAACTGTTACTAACATGCCTGCTCAGATGGCGCAATGAACAGCGAAGTAAATAATTAACACTCCACAGAATATGGCGAGCGCGATGGGGTTGTTGCCTGCAGCATCTCAGATAGGCTAATCTACCATTCCCGTGGATTGAGTTGTGACGAACTCTGACAGTAGACCATCGCGAGAACTAAGTATCAATTTGTCGCTATTCTGCGTTGGATGGGCTTTGGCCCTGGCGCAGGATAGCTGCATGGGTTTTGGCCCTGGCGTATTGCAGTTCTAATCTATTTTTGCGTTGCAACTATCCTCCTACGCGAAGATTGTGTGAAGTATTACATGGAGAAAAGTATGACCAAGAACGATATCATTGTGTTTGTGCATCTCAATCTTTAGTGAGCCTGCCGGGAGACTAATATACGCGTTCAGAGACAGGAAATTAGGACAAATTTGTGCAAGACAGCTGCTAGCGAAATGGACCCCGTGCACACTATTTTAGCTCAAAAATGCGCACCTCATTTCTACAGACGCAAGGACATGTGTTGTTTGCTTATTGTATAGCCACGCTTGAGGATTTACTGTGCAAAATCCTTAGTGATTCGTACTCATCTGCATATACATATGTCGGCATGATGAGGTTTCACCAGGTCCGTTTCACAGACCAACACAGACAGACCAAAAAGCAATCAATATCTAGTAAAACGATAGTATGCCATCCTATGATGCCATACGATACCTTGATAGGTTTCACCACGGTGCTAATATACTTGTTAATGCTCTATTTCTGGTATGACCCATGAAGGAATATTGAAGTCAATGAAATACATATTAATATTATTCCCTCTAGTTGACGCGGGATTGATTGCGTGTCGTATTTGGTTCACTACTGTGTCGAAATCCAATTCTTGGATACATTATATTCTTTTTGTGGAGCAAAAGAATACGCGCTAACGTGCTGCAACCATAATCGAACAGTATTTTTAGTTATATGTATTGTTTGTAGTTTGTTTTTTTTTTCCCCGGGAATTTGGAGGACAGCATTGAACAACATCACAATACAGAGGTATACATTCCGCCCTATTTTCATCCGGAGGTGAATTCCGTGCAGGGCGGTGGGAGCGTCGAGATCGAATAATAGTTGCAAACTGCCTGCTAGCTGCTAGTCAACAAGCCCACCTCGTACTCTATAGCGCATAAAACATACCAAACCCTCCACAAGGTTTTAATGTATGCGAAAATATGTTCAGTGGTTTCCGTAGCAGGCCTTCTACTGTGTTACAATCCTTGTTTTTTAATAGACAAGGATCCACAGAAGGTACAAGGATAGTACGATGCGAGAAAATGTCACCGATTTATCGGTGGTGTGATTTTCGGAAATATTAAATCTCGAACTAATATAGCTTAAACATGTATCTTATGTAATTGCTATAGCAGCTTTCAAGTAAATATTTACCAGAAATAAAACGACCGACATTTAACGATATGCACAAGGCACTTGGCGCGGTAAATAGAAGTATTGATACCCGTGCAATGTCATTCACACAAAAATGAATTGGCTTGAACACAGAACACTTTCATTTCGTACTAATTATTATTCAGCTTCGGCATGGTATTTGCTGCCGTATTTCGCGAAAAGAAGTTTCCCCATTCTAAACCTGTCCTTTTGTTAAATCATCTTACAACGCAGTCAGAACCTGTGGATAAAGAACTTGTACTTGTAGACGAGCAAAAGTTGCATAGTGCGTCAGAAAGGGAGAAGAAGAAGGAGGCTTGTGAAACGTTGTGCTTTTTACGATCTCTTTCAGCTTGGATCTGAAATCTTCTAAGCAATTATATTACAACGCACAACACTCCATCACCGCATTTTGAGATAAAAATGTTCTGCAGTTTTTTTTTACCTAGGCTTTTTGTAATTGTAATCTATTTTGTCTATGAAGTATTGCATAAAAAAAAAGTTGACTGAGGACGATGTCATTTCGATTATTCATCTCAATAGGTAATGACCCGGAGACTATAAAGTATCTAGTAAGTAGTCTAGCGAAGACTACGATGCGAAAAAAATGTCATAAAATGTGGAGGTGTAACTTCCGGTATTTTTGAATCTCGAACTAATAAGGTTTTATCACGTATCTTTTGTATTTGCTGTAAATAAATAGTTACCAGTAAATAGAAACTCAGATGCGGACATGCACTGACTACTTGGCGTTGTAAACAGTGGTATAGATACTGTTGTAGTGTCATTTACGCAAAATCGAATTGACCTAAACACAGAACCCTTTCATTTCGTAGTAATTGTAATTATGCTTCGGTATGCTATTCCCTCCCGCATTTCAAGAAAAAAATTCACCCATTATTTTATCGATTAGTTATGTCTTTTAACGAAGTCACCCCCTGTGGATAAGAAAGTTGTATATGTAGACAAGCAAAAGATGCTAACCGGCGAGTGCACGTTGTTAACCATGTCTAGTGAACAGCCTATCGAAGATTACGATGCGAAAAAGAAATGTCAACGATATGTGGTTGTTTGATTCCGGAAATCTTGAATATCGAGCCAATCTTTTTTTATCATGTATCTTTTGTATTTGCTATAAGCCGGTGTCAAAACGGGATTTGGTTCAGAGGAATCCTCCCCACTTTTTAGTGGGGTCTTAGGGGCTGTTTTCTGTTTACCCCTCCCCCCCCCCCCCCTCCCCTCCCCAACCCCAAATTCAGTACTGGGGGTATTCCTTTATAATATATACGGGTTCAAAAAGCGCCTAGGGGGCACATACATATGTGTAGATAGATATGTCAGTCGGTAGGTGTTGTATGAGAGAAGCTAGCTGAGTCAGGTAGAATCTCTATCCATCGATATAGAAGCGACTGGGCGCATGCACTTGAAAGAAGTACTAAGTTCTGTGCAAGGATGCGAGTTTGTAACAAACACTTCGAGCACAATCAGATGGTTGAACGTTTAAAAGGAAAGCGTCTACGAAGGAGCTACGTATCTGTATTGGCACTCCCAAGTAATATCATACCTGTGACAGCAACACGCCGCAGGTTGCCACTACAATCGATGAGGCAAATACCCAAGAGCTAATAGAATTCAAACCACTGAACACTTCATCTCGCAATACTACACATGAAAGCAAAAAAAAGGAGAGAGAACGCAAACAGCAAGACAAATAAAAACTGAATTAGATACCCCTGTCCAGTACCTGGTAAATAGCAGTGTACAAGGGGGCTGGTTGTTGCACGTAAGTGATGATGGAATAGATATACGGTTCTCTCGTCTTGTATATCTCCCTGGACGTCTAGCACCGGAGATATAAATAAACGGTAAACATAATATATGCTGGTAGCTGCGATGTGAAAAATAAGACAGGTACGTTTTATATTGCGTATAGAACACGACTGCCATCCCGGATGCGAGCACCAGCCGTGACATTGAATCACAGTTAATATTTTTGCACAGTACGTTAGACATAACGTGACTTGTGATTTATGGTCTTACATACAAGTCGGTGAGACAAGTATATATACACGTATTTTGGGAGCACTCAATTGACAATGGACAGTACTAACGGCATGCCATCTGTGTACAAACATAGTATGGACTGACAAGATACAGTCAGTTAACATTGTACACTTGAAATCGACTAAGTCAATCCGCTGTATACACATCTCAACTACTTGTAAACATTTGAACTTCTACATAACTTTTCCCTGTCGAACATAGTCATATTCTTATTTGTCAACACGACATGTCGCACCGCACTAGAGCCCTTAAACATATGATCGCGTACAATAACCTTCGTTGTCCCTTTATAAACCTGCTGAGCATCGTGTGCTTTTTCAGGTATTAAGGGCACATCGATTGTTGGAGTAACAGCGCCATAAAGCTTTTGCCGCACATAGTTGTGGTCACCGGCAATAAGGTCTGTGCCAGCCGCCACAATAAACCTCTGCTGACTAGCCTTTTGCTTGAACTGGCGCACCTGGATCTGATAAATGAGTTGCAGCTTTGTCGTCGTAAGAATTATGACATACATCCTCCCAATGTCTCACCATTCACTGCTTATGTAGACAATAATATGCTGTAGTTCAGTGGGCATCTCCGTTCGTCTGTAAATTGCAACGTAGAAGCATGAATACACAATTTAACCGGTGCCCGGCATTTCAGAAAACCATGTGTATTCAATCGATTTCTTTCAATTTCACACATGTACAATACCTTTAAATGTTATCTAGTTTGAAGGGAGAGCTTGATATATAGAAGGCATGTGTATTTCGTCGAAGCTTTAGCAAAAGGGTTGGACACAGGCAGGCAAGCACAAATTGTATTCTGGTCCACTACAAAGACGGTATGCCCCAATCGAACACTTTGATATCGTCTGGACATTCCTGTTTATGTGCAGCCTACATGGTGTCGTTAACCTGTTCTCGCAAGTCTCGTACGGATACAATCTCTATCATATGTAGGGTTTCTCCATGTCTGTGATTGTTGACGCTCGCCTGCAAAACCCTGAAAGTCGCATTTTCAACAATCACAAGTGAGGGCTTTCAACATATATAGGTACTTGTATATAAATATAATAACATATGAATATGCATAAAAAAATAGACATATATACGTATATGTTATTCATGCATATCTACGTGTATGTGCTTATGTGACTGTTTATGCGTGTATGCATGTACATATGCATATGGACGTAGATATTTGGTTACTTGTCTACCAACATACTTGATCATACAGGAGAATCATTGCATATTTGGCGAATTATTTGAACATGTTGGCTCGCGCACGCTTATTGTCCAAAACAACGACAGACAACGAATACTCGTCTATACCACTCTCATACGCCGTTTTGATATTGTCATATACCGCACTATCCTTCTTCAAAGCAGAACAATTACCCATCAGCACTTGAAATAAATTGTCCATGTGCACTTCCTTCATCTCCGCAC